GTCACTTTCCTTCGAGATTTTTTTTTTTATCATTTCTACTTCTGCAAAGTTCAGCTCTTCCTCATGGTGAGAAATAATTCCAGAATAACACTTCTCATTAGATCTTTTGTTTTTTGAAAGATCAAATTATCATTAAGGCAAGCTAAGAAATTATGAATTGGTTTGTTTGAGAAAGAGTGAGACAGCAAGAGAGAGAGAGAATATATGAATGGTACAGCAAATACCCAGATAATTGAAGTCATCCCTTGTACCTGATGCTGTCATGTCAGGATTAGGGGCTAAAATATACTCTGATAATATTATGTTTCTGCTTCCATTGATCTTCCCCCTGTAACCTTTTCACCTTTTTTATTTTTACCCCTTATGACTCTTGGGTTTCTTCTCTACCTACTGACCTTCCTGGCTTTTTTAAAGTCCTAACTAAAACCCCACCTTCTACAGGAAACCTTCCCCAACTCCTCTAAATTCCAGTGCCTTGCCTGTTCCTATTTATTTTGTTATAGCTTGCTTTGTGTATATTTGTTTTCATGTTGCCTTCCTCACTAGTTTATAAGCTCCTTGAGGTCAGGAACCATCTTTTGCCTCTTTTTATATACTCCAGTACTTAGCACAGTTCCAATATTTATGGAATGATATGAATACCTTTTCATAATATCTGTATTATTAGCACAGAATAGAAGCTCTGGCTTTGTAGTCAGTCAACAAGCATTTATTAAGTGCCTGCAACATCCCAAGCACTGTGCTGAGCACTGGTTATACAAAGAAGTAGAAAAACATTGCTGCTTTCCTCAAAGAGCTCACATTCTAATGGGGGAAACAACATGTAAATGACTAGGGTCCTATACAATACATATCCAGAGTAGATGGAAGTTAACCTCAGAGAGAAGGCACTGGGGAGGAATTTTCAGAAAATAGAATTTGAACTGAGTCCAAAGAAGAGGCAGAGGTGAAAGGGGGTATGTGTGTATTGGGGGGGGGGTGAGAAGGGGAAGTTAGGCAGATAGGAGATGAACTAGAGGAGGACAGAATTACAAAAACCTAGAGAGGAGAAAAGATCTTGGAGGAGCTTGTTATTAACAGATGATTAAAAACTAGCTCTCAACAGAGTCAGGCTTCAGAAAGGTAAGGAAGCATGAGGATGGAAGAAAGGCAAGATTTGGTAATTAAGAGATGATTGGTGATTTCGGAGATGGCTGTTTCAGTTAACTGATGAGTTTGGAAGCCAGACTGCAGAGCAGAATAAATAGACACAAAGTTTAGGTGGCTTTCTCGAGGAATTTTTAGTTATAAAGAGGAAGAGAGATATTGGACAATTGCTAGCAGAAGATCAAAGAAGGGTTTTATTTTTTGTGACCAGGTTACATCTTATGGGCTTCTCACTAAACAACTCTCAGGCTCATGCCCCTAACTCAAACCTTACTCTGGGACCATCGAAATGTCATGTCATCCCAGCAAGGCTGTGGCTGTGGCGATGGGATTAGAAGGTGTGGCAGCTGTGAACTTGGCCAGATGGATACTAGGATTTCATGGCAGACAAGGAAGGCTTTGGGGCTGCCCATGAGGAGGATTTGGATGAGATGGTCTTAGACTACAAGGTTTCAGAAAAGAAAATTCTGCAGGAGATCTAGAAGCAGGACCAAGACAATGAACATCTAACCAAGTATAAGCAAGTGTTGTTGGGGCCCATTCCTGAGGCTATGGATCCCAGCCTCACCAATGTGCAGGTGACAGTGGTCTGTGAACAGGTACCTGGATCCATTACCATGGACCTGGCAGGGGACCTGGAATTGCCAACAACCAGGTGTTTGTGATGAAGGAATGTGTGGATTACAAAGTGGAAGTTCCCTTTAAGGTCAATAAGAAGATTGTCTGTGGCTTGAAGTATCTGTCTCACACCTACCACAAAGGACTGTGAGTGCACAAGGCCATGTACATGGTGGGGCATTATGGGCCAGGGACAGAGGAGTATGGGTTTTTGACACCAATAGAGGAAGCCCCCAAGGGTCTACCCATTTGAGGCACCTACTATACCAAGTCCTTCTCGAATGATGACAAAACAGACTATCTATCCTGGGAGTGGGGCCTCAACATAAAGACTGGAAGGATTGACTCCTCTGCCTTCTTTGCCCTCTAACTCCTGCCCTACCTGCCCCTGCCTCAGCCTCCACTGGGGTCTAAGGTCACTCTTGGGCCAGGACATTCCCTGGCCAGTCTGGCAGGGACCTTGCTAGGGTAGCTGGAAGCCTGTGATTGGATCACTAAGTGTGAATCCCTCCTTCCTTTATCCTTCCATTGTGGGCCTTCCTCTGGCCCCCAGCAACCTCAGCTCAGGAAAGGGCTGCCTCCAACTTCCTTCCCCTCCAGCTCCCACCCATGTCTAACCCCATCTTTCTCCTTGAAGGTCTCCCTCCTGGGGACCTAGCACGATTTCTCTACGCCAATAGGGATTCCAAAGCACCTGACCTGATCCTCTTTCTCCTTTACACGCCCCTCATAGTCATCCAAACTCAGCAGGAAGGAGCAGTTCCATCACTTTTTCCCTCATCCCCTTCAAAAGACCCCTTTGTGTCTGTACCAGGTTATACAAACCCTGTCTCTGGTCATCCCCTTATCCTGGTTCTCCCCTCTTAGGGTCTAACAACCATATTCCAGGAGGAGGCTTCCAGGGACAGGTGGGAGTAGAATGGGATGGAACATGTAGGGAACAGTATAAGCCTTCAGTCATCTCTACCCCCCCTGCCAGGGGCTTGTGTCTGTAATGGAAGCTCATCAGAGTTGCCTTGTGTCTTTTGGCCTTCACCTCTTACCTGTCACATTCCTCTGGTGGCCTGGCATTGCTGGGGCTCAGTCACCTGAGAAGGGGGTGCTGTGATACTGCCTGTCTCCCCCTACCCGTGCTGTGGGGTTCCCATTCTCTCCCCCAATTAACTTTTGTCTGTGTTCTCATCTGTTCCCACTACACTTCAGCAATTTCTGCCCCCTCAAATATGGTCATATCTAGGTTTCCCCAAAGAAAAGAAAAGAACCCTCAGCCCTCATGCCATCACTCAGGCTACAGAAACATCAAACATAAGGCTTTATTTGACCCTACAAAAAATGCAAAGCACCCAAACTTGAGTCCACAAACAATCGAGGAAATTCTCTTTCCATCTTCAATAGACCCACCTCCTCCAGGGATCTTGTACAGTTCTGCTGCTGATCCCTCCCCTGCCTAGGGGATGGGAGAAAAGCAACCTTCTACAGTTATCTCTTCCACATCTCCAGGGTTAGGGGCACAGCGCCCCACAATCTAGAAGTTCCATGTAAAATTTTTTGGCCCTCCTTCAGACTGGAGAAGAAGTCTGAATTATTATGGTATTAAAAGATAAAATACGTTGATATTATATAATACTATATATATTTTATGCATTTCTGAGTCTCTAAACTTTGTGTCATCTGCTGGCCTTTGGGTGTCATCTACGGCTTCTGCAAAACTCCCTAAAAATTCCCATTTAATTTCTTATGCTGATCAGCAATGTATCATCGAAACTGAGATGGGGAAAGTCGGGATGTGGAAGGGATAACTGTAATCTAGTAAGCCTTTCCTCCTATAGGTACTTATATAGTCTTCAGTCTTCTCTTATGTAGTCTTCCAGACTTCTCTGGGATGGAGGGCTCCCTGTAAGAGGACTATGTACTTTGTACTTTGGGTACATAGCTATTGACCTCTTTTAAATCTCGTTCTCAGGCATCATCTTCTTAACCAGCTGGTTGTTTCTCACCATTACAGCGGGGATTCCTTTTTGTTATGGGTCTGACTAGAAGCAGGGCTTCTTAAACTTTTTCCACTTCCCTGACCCCTTTCCCGAATTTCAGCCGTGTTTGTTAGTGCTGCGTGAGTGTGACAGCATGCAGAGTGCAAAGTGCCCATACTTTATGTTCAGAAGCAAGGCTGCAGTGAAGTTTCAGGATGCAACATGGACAAGCACTGCCAGAAACACTTTGGATTCGTTATGTTTAATTTTTAATTAATTTTTGCTCGTTGTGCGTTCAGAAACCTTGTACTGTTGCCAAATCCACGGTTTAAATAGCGCTGGATTAGCGGACTGCTAAGGTGCCTTCCAACTCTTATATTTTGTGATTCATAGAGACACTTTCTAGGTTTGTTCTGGGGCTAACTTTAGCCTTTCTGACTCAACCCAGACATGTTACCCAGGAAGACAGCCCTCTTAGTTTTTCACAGCTGCTTGTGGTGGAGGGGCCTTGAGTATTCAGGTGCGACCAACTGACCTTTGAGGTCCTTTCTTACTCTAAAGAGTTTATGAGCTACGAAATGATGTCAACTACAAGGCCTATATTTATATAATAAGGGGATCTCAGCATCTCTGTTTACCCACGTAAATGATAGGCCAAACCCATATCATGTATAAAATGTTCAGAAAGCTGTTGGAAGAAATTTTACCTGATGCTCATTTTCTTTTCTTTTTGAAAATTTCTTTTGCTCCATATGTTTTGACATTACCAAGATTTTCCACCAACTCTTTTCCTCTCCCCCTTTCCAGGGAGCCATCCCTTATAACAAATTATTTTTTAAAAGAAAATTGAGCAAAACTGATAAGTACATCAAAAATAATCTGACATTGAAGTAATCAATCATTGCACATCAGTGGATACCCACACCCTCCACCCCTGCAAAGGAATGGCACAAGATGTCCTCTCATATCTCTTCTTGCTCTGTGTAATTTTGCAACATTCATTTTTACTTGTGTGTGTGTGGTGGGGGGGGGGGGGCTGTTCTTTCCATTTACATTATTGTTGTCACTCTTTATATTGTTTTCCTGGCCCTTTTTTTTTCACTTTGCATCAGTCATGTAAACCGTTCCATGTTTCTCTGTATTCTGTTTGTTATTTCTTATAGCAGAATAATAATATTTCATTACATTTATGCTGGCATCCTTTTTTATTTTTTACATTTTTTGTACCCTTTCTTTAAACATCCTCTTTGTATCTGGTCTTCACAGATACGACTTAAGTCTGGATGAAATAAGGGATTTGACATTTCAGAGAGTGAAATTTACCATGGGCTTGCCTCAGTTAAAACGTGCAATTCAGGAACAGGTAAGTTTTGTTTTGGTTTTTTTTTTGCGTGTGTTTTTTTTTGTGAAATTATCCCCATGTAGTCTATTTTTTTCAGTCAATAATCATTAAGTATCTACTATGTGTTGGGCACTGTGCTAAGCACTGATGATACAAAAAGTCATATAAAATACTCCCTGTCCTCAAAGGATTCACAAACTAATGGAGATAAGTACAAAAAAAAAATCCTTACTCTGAAGGTGCTTACATTCTAAAAGGGAAAGCAACAAACACATATATAAATATATCCAGAATAAATATAAAAAGAATAAATGCAAATATATGCAAAGTAGTTAAATATCAAGTCATTTGGAAGGCAGGACACTAGTAATTAGGATCAGGAAAGACTTGACACAGAAGCTCTTGTTTGAGTTGCATCTTAATGGAATTGACTGACTGAGGTGGGTGGCAAGGAGGGAGTGAATTCCAAGAATGGGAAACAATTAGCACAAAGGCAAGGAAGTGAGTGATGGAGTGTCTCATGTGAAGAACAAAGAAAAACTTTGTGTTATCCTAGGAGCAATAGAAAGCCACTGGAGATAAGCAGGGGAATCAAATGTCCAGATATGAACTTAGGACAAACTACTTTGGCAGCAGGATGAAGGATGAACCGAATTGGTGAGAGGACAGGCAGCAAGACTAATTTAAAGCTTGCTGCAATAAATTTGAGATTTGAGGAAGGCCCAAACTAAGGCAATATATGTGTGTGAGAAGAGATCAAATGTGAGTGATGTTGTGAAGGTAGAAATGACAAAATCTGTTAACTGATTACATGTGTAGAGTGAAGGTTAGTAAGGTGTGCAAGATAATTCTGAGATTACGAACCTGGAGTACTGAAAGGATGGTAGTGTCCTGAAAGAAGCATACTATTATTCCATAATAGTATGAAAATGATGAGCAAACAGACTTCAGAAAAACCTGGAAAGACTTACATGAACTGATACTAAGTGAAGTGAGCAGAACCAGGTGAACATTGTACACAGTATCAGCCACATTGTGCAATGACCAACTATGATAGACTTAGCTCTTCTCACCAATGCAATGATCTAAGACAATTCTAAAAGACTCATGATGGAAAATGCTATCCACATCCAGAGAAAGAACTATGGAGTCTGAATGCAGATCAAAGCATACTATTTTCACTTTTTTTTTGTTTGTTTTTTCTTTCTCATGGTTAGTCCTTTTGGTTCTGATTCTTCTCTAAAACATGACTAATGTAGAAATATGTTTAATATGATTGTACATGTATAGCCTATATCAGATTACATGCTGTCTTGGGGAGGGGGAAGGAAAGGGAAGGGAAAAAATTTAGAGCTCAAAACCTTATAAAAGTGAATTTTGAAAACTAAAAATAAAGAAAAAAAGACACAGGGAAGAAAGGAAAGTTTGGACAGAAAAATAAAGGAGTGGTCAGATAGGTGGAAGGTGAAATAGAAGAGAATAGCATCATAAAAACGGAAACAAGAGAGCATCTGGGATGAAGACAGCCATCAACCATGTCCAATGATTCGGAGAGTTAGAGAACCATACCACCTTTGAGTTCAACAATCTTGTCAACTCTCACGATCCACTCCTCCTCAGTCATATGCAAGAATGTTACCAGATATTCTCACCATCACCCCAAAATGTTTTAAGTTCACAATGAAAAATTCTGAAATTTCTTTTTATGACTATAACCTTCGATCACTGTAGCTTTCTTTAGATTAAACTCACTCTTCCAAAACCATAATTCTTTACCCTTCAATGTAGCTACCAGTCCCTACACCAGTGCCTCAGTAATCTCCATGTCATAAGTTTTAAGAAATTCCTAAAACTACATCTGGATTCTTTACTTGTCTATTCTTTCTCATTTAATCATACATAATTAGTATGTATACTGTTCTTTTATTTTTGTGATTTTTTTTTCATTTCATAGCATTTCATAATTGTCTTTGCTTATTTCTTTCTATTCCTCATTCTTGTCAGTCTAAATTGGATTATTACTACACACCTGTATTTTCAGTGGTCTAGGGAACTCCTACGAAGAAAATTCCCCCTACCAACATAGATTAGCAACTACTCTGCATAAGTGACTTGCCCAGGGTCACATGAGTCTTCCTTACATTGGTGCTGTCTTTCTATGTACCATGCCATAATGTCTTCTGGTTTTCTAAGTGATATTTTTATAAGTTTATCAACATAGTCAAATGCCAAATGTCTTATCATCTCTTTCCACAGTGTTTTTCTGATACTCCAGCCCTTTATTTTGATTCTAACCTGGTAATCTTGCCATAATCTATTTATAACTTTGATCAGCAGAGAAACGAAAATGTAATTTAGGGGATTGACATAGTTTTTAGGTACAAAGTTCTGAATATATGTTGATTTTAACTTCCTGGCCATTTCCAAACCATATTGCCTTCACTTCAACCATCTTCCTTATCACTTTCATGTTTCTCATCTTCTTCCTACTTGAACCTTGGACTCATCCCCTGGGACCCTGGGCTCTGACAGCTGATCTTTCGCCTTACCTTGCATGAAACCAAGCCTCCACATCACTTCCCTGACATTACTAAATCATGCTGCCATCTTGCATCTTTCCCACCCCTTTCATTTCCCCATTGCCCCTTGAGGGCAAGAAAGGTCTTGCTTGTTTATAATTGTATCCCTAGCTCTTAGCACAGGACCTGGCTCATAGTAAATTCCTAATAAATGATATTTCATTCATTCACTTATTCATTTAGTAGTTTCAGTTGCCACCTGTTACAAAACTTTTTATCCATATGGACTATAAAATATAAAGCTTTAGTTTTTCTCAGCTGTAAATGAGGATAATAATATATTCTCTACCTCAGAAGATTGTTTTCAGTAAAGTGCTTTGTAAACTTTAAAGTGGTTTATAAATGTGAGCTCTGGTTATTATTATTTGAGGTGACTGATTTATAGAGATATCATCTTTGTGATGCAAATTATAGAAGTATATTAAATACTTGAAATTAATTTCTATCCTGATCTGTTTCAGAAAAAAATTTCAAAACTTAATTCATGATTCCTTTTTAAATTTTACCTTCTAATGACCTAAATTTTTTACATATTTCCATAAGAAGACTTTGAGTTGACATGGAGTCGAGGTCAGCAAAATCAATTGCTAGTCAGCTCAAATCTTTATCCCTCTACCAAAGATGAGTTCCATTTTGGGGAATCCCCTTTTCCATTCCAGCATGAACCTTAGAGGTCTGTTCTGTCCCATTATGTGACCACACAAAGTGATAAAGGCCAAAGAGAGCCTAATCTGCTTTGGAGGGCTGATCTGAAGCTTCTTTTGGCTAAGAAGGGGATACAAGTCTGGACCAGATCTTGGAGCTCACCTTGTATCTGTCCTAGAGTTGAGCCAAACCCACAAGTCAACCTCAGCACTGACCAACCCTTTTCAGGGTCCTTTTTGCTAGGGATGACTCACAATTTGGCCCAACTTTTTGTGGCCACTTGAGCCTACTCCTCTGAGGAACTTGGAACCAAAATATCCTTGGCAGGGGATAGGTAGAAGCTGAGCATTGAGAAAATGGTTATTCCTGTCATAGAATCTTGCCTCACAATTAATTGCCAGGAAGATAGAAATTGCAGCTTGGTGTGTTTTCAGAACTTTCAGATGAAAAAATCCATACATATTCATCTGGAAAATGAAAATCTCAGTATAAAAGAGTTGAAAGAACTGGCCAAGGTTAAAAAAATTATTTTATATGGAGCCAGTTCAACAGTAAGTCAAATGGAAAACATTTAAGTGCCTACTATGTGTGAAATAAGACACAGTAGTCTGTCCTGTAGCCTGCACAAATCTCGGTGAGTATCCTTATTTCTTTTTTGGTTTCTACATTAGTCTGGACCCAGTCTATTGCATGGTCTAGGAAACTCCCCAGGAGATAATCAAGTAGGAGAATGGTGAGGGTTTCTGTCTGCCACAGGACATTGTCTTCAGGGTTCTGTTAACTTTGCAAGGCACTGCATATGGAAATTCAAAAACAAAACAATCCTGCCCTCAAGGTGCTCACATTCTACTGGGGGCTACAACATATACACAAAAAAGCAAACAATATGTGCATGTGCACACACACAGATATACATATATATATATATAGTATCTGTATATATATAAATGTGTGTCTATATGTATATGTGTGTTTGTATATCTATATATGTGTATACACACACACAAACATACACACTATATATATATATATGTTTCAAGAGGGAGAGTATGCTAATAACTGGGTGCATTAGGCATCCATGCTATACTTTGTAGGAAAACAGATAATTCCACAAGGTGGAGGTGAAGAGGGAGTACATAATTTCAAAGCACAAAAATGTCAGTCAACTCAAGTCTAGATTATCTCGGGTTCCAGGGACCTGTGTCTAGGATCCAAAGCCCTCCCCCATTTGCTACCATCTGTATCATTTCTCCTATTCACCATGATCTTACTTGGCTAAGGAAATAGAGCCCCTCCAAGTATATTTAGTGCTCAGGGTCATCGGTAGAAATCTCAGCCTCAAGCCAATCATTACTGATAAAGTCTCCAGCTCCCCTAATCAGCTCAGCATGTCCACAGCTTAACTGAGTGTCAGTAACTGAAATCCAGACATGAAGGTTGATCCTTTTATGTTTCTTGCTAATTGCTGCCAGATTCTGTTGAGCCCAGCAGATTAACCTGTACAATCCCTTACTTTAGGAGGAAGGCTGCACGCTGCACTTGGTTGATTCATTTATTTATTTATTTTTATTACAACTCTTTTAGTACTCTAAATGGTACACATACAAATACAATTTCCCTTTTACTGTAGCCTTTCCTGAAACGCTGGCCGCAGTTTTTCCTGGGTGGCTATCTGTGTTCCCTTTGGGAGGTAGAACACTAGAATGGATGGCCCCTGGAAGTTCCTGTTGGTCTAAAACGGAGTTCTCTCAGGCTCAGTTATTCCCTTCCTTTCAGTAAATTCTCAAAAACCAATGA